TGTTCTGTTTTTATCATTTCAGAAGTTCACTAGTGAATTGAATACAAATCAGTCTATTATCATTTAGTTCTGAAAAAGATCAGCATGAATGTTGCCCGAAAATTGCACGAAATGAAATGATTAGATTTTTGCTCGCATCCCTGACCTCCACGAGAAAGATAACTTCCTTCGACGATAAGTCACCCGAAGCCCGTAACAAATGTACCTACGAAATTTACCACTGCTCCGTAAATCTGTACAAAGTAGACACTGCACGCTAGATCGCGGATTTAAAATCTATATCATCAGTTGCGAAAATTCTTCTAAATTCTCTCGTGAGTAGGGTGTCGAGCGATTCATTGTCATGGCTGTATACCCACCTAGAAATACAAGATATAACTCGCAATAGACTCTAGACAGGCAAAATGCAACTCTTACCTATGATCTACTAAGTCATAGCGCTTAGGACCAGATACAGGGCTCGATAACCATATTTGTTTGTTAGGCGATTGTTTATTTATTACGTATGTGCCTGAATTAACATTATAAAAACAGATTACAATGTTATTTTTTCAGCATAAAGTATTATGTGAATAACTTGCTAATTAGCATTAAAAGGTTGACATTAATATCAAAACAATCAACTCTTTTAAAAGCAACCCAAAACCACAAAATGAGACAAGTTAGGGAATTTATCAAAGAGTTTCTTTAACCAGCATTTGGCAATAAAAGTTACTAAAAATTGCAAAGTTTGGAGTTGTAACTGGATTATAAAAAGTTATTAGTGCGACTACTAAAGACGGCAGATGAACAAGAACTGACCAACATCTTTGCTGACCACTACAGTAAGTACGCCCATCGCATGAGTTACGTCATAGTCAGGTGATACTGAGAATCGTTCAGGCAGATTGTCGAAGTAATCGGTGAGTCTGAGTAATTCGCATAGTTACAAACGAAGCACTCAAAGAAAATTGAAGGGAAAGTATAGACCCAATTAGAAACGGCATTTAAAAATGACCCAACTCACTTCTCTAATGATTCTTCTGCAGCTTTCTCGTACTCATTTTGAGATACAGCGGAACATAAAGCTACAATTTTACGTTATGCATCTAGGACATTGATATAAACGTCAAATATCATTTCAATGGAATTCGAAACGTTTAATTAGCTCTAAGACTTGAATTAGTGTAATGTCAGAATAAAAAAAAGCTTTACTTCGGATAGGGCCACTTCGTAGGAGAGGACGACAGAGCTGTGTCAACATCAAATTCCTGAAAATGAAACCAAGTAGCTCTTATAAAGATTTATAATTAGCAAGCAGGCGTGAGATGAACGAACAGAAACATTTTGCATTTATTCACTGCCTTCATTGTAAACTTTAAATCCAACACCGCTGTGAAATTTACGTTTGTCTTATGAATTGGTTTCAAGTTTGGTTGAACTACTAGTTCGCTACTGAAGCTTTTCTTTGTTTAGAGCCATAAGTTCTCTTAGTCGCAGATTTTCATTAGAACTCTTTAGAAGAGCGGGCAATGTGCCTTGCAGTAAGATTTAAGACGGAAACGACGGATAGAAAAATCGCATTGAACAAGTCCGCCAAAAATGGCCGATGAAAATTCATAAATTTAATTATGCAATTCGTCTCTTCGAAAAAAACTAGCATACGTTCAGAGCGCTCTCGTAGTAATAATAGCTGATCAGAGAAAGTAACTGGGCTTTTCACCCCCACAGCAAATTTCCACGGTCTGGCTTCGAGCAGATAAAAATTGTTTTTCTGAAAACCTGTGCCAATCGCAACTTACGCGTTGACGCCCAAAGAAGTGTATCTGAGGAGGTGCAGAGCTTAACGTCAAGCATATTCCACAAGTTCTAATCTCCAAGCATCTAGTGCCTGTGTCGCCAAGATTGTAGCAAGTGATAGCTTTCGGGTAATTGACTGTTTAAAATGTAATTTGCCCTCTGCTCAGCTCTTGCTTATAAGAGCTGAAGTGAGATTGACTGCGTATGGATCAGCGCTCTTCACGAGCCGCTGTTGTTCACCACATGCTGTGGCTAAGATGGATTAACAAAAAATCTCTTTTTAGGTAGCAATCTAATCTGTAAGATTTTTCTAGCGCCCCCTAATCTGCTTTTGAAACATATAACCGGTTTTTCGAATGGAGTAAGGTTATGGAATACGTGGGTAAAGAGAAATCAAGACGCAGCCAAAAAAACGAAACAATTCTCGTGATCTTGAATTATGGGGATGAGGTAAGGGAAGAGAGACCCGTCTTGGTTTAAAAAGTAAAACATAAATTTCAATGCAAGAGAAAAGAGTTCCAAATCCTTTCAGCAAGCTAGAAATGACTTTCGATAGTAGGTGGAAGTCAAATCATAACTTCATAGTTGTCAGATAAGAACATGTAATCTAATTTACACTCTTTCTTGAACCCCACTTTTCTATCTCTTATAATTCATATTCGTTTGATCAATTTTCTTTGGCTTTAATGCAGTAAATTGCATTGTACCCCTATTCTTTGCATGATATTATCACTTTGGTTTATAGAACCTCAGAACAAAGATATTATCGTCACGTACCAGGCTTGCACTATCACACG